GGGTGTCCGACTTGTGTGTGTGTGAAGGAACAAAGGCAGAGGAAGAAGCGCTACGACCAAATAAGAATTGGTGTGTGTAATTGCTGATGGGCTAGAAATTGAATGGGCTTGGGAAGATGACTTTCGCCCGTTGTTATCAGTGGTTGTCCATGCTTTTTAATGCCGCTTTTCGGATGGTATTGGTGTAATCCGAGAGGAAGGAAAAGAAACCAGTGTAACACTTCCCTCGTCGATGACATCACATCTTTTTACAACTTCTTGTAAAAGTGTGGGTCTCTACATTTTCTCACTGTGTCTAACACATTGCTCGAGGTTCATTTGCACCATCTTTCTTTTCCCTCTTCTAGGTTACACCAATACCATACGAAAAGCAACATTAAACACCATGGTCAACCACTGATAACGGGAGAAAGTTATTATGCTAAGCCTATTCAATGTCCAGCCCATCGGCAATTACACCCACCAATTCTTATTTGGTTGTAGCGCTTCTTCCTCTGCCTTTATTCCTTTAAGGCAGGGATGGCCAAACTGCGGCCCTCCAGCTGTGGTGGAACTACGAATTCCATGAGGCTTTGCAAGATTCTAACAGCCACAGACATGACTCCCGGAGAAAGATGCTTCGTGGGATTTGTAGTTTCACCACAGCTGGGGGGCCGGAGTTTGTCTATCCCTGCTTTAAGGTAACACCCTACAACTGCCAAGACCTTATAAGGATTAACTGAATCAGCACACACAAGGAAATTTCTGAATCTCTCCTGAATCTCCCCCTCAAGTGCTCATATTTTGTTTGCAAACCCACTAGTGATTTGACAGGTTAGACATTGATTTACTTACTTCTAGCCATTGCCATCCATGGAAAATGCCTAATGGGACCAACCCATCTATCAAGTGTCCGAAGCAATGTTCTTCAGAGAACAGTTAATATCTGTGTGTATGTATTGGTCCCCAAAATGAAAGCCCGTCTTACATTATTGCTAGGTTTAATCCAGCTCTGCCTGCTAATCTGTACATGAATGAGCACCTTTAGGTGTGATGGATTTAAGACTCTGGCCAAGGTTCTTATTGGAAAAGCTCCATGGGCATCCAGTCAGGAGTCTGATAAAATATTATATTAGCAACACTTACATTATCTCTTGCTCTCTTTTATCCATCATTTATTTTCCTGTCACTTCTTTGCAGCTTTGAGAGATGAGCGGTTTCAGCTTGTGGATTTCACGCCAAAATTGGTCAAGATCCATTTGTCCAATGCCAAGTTGGAGGATGAAGGTGGCTATTTCTGCCAGCTGTATACGGAGGACACGCACCACCAGATTGCCACTCTCACTGTGCTCGGTAAGCTCTTAAACTGCACCCAGGATCATTCCCGTCATAAGGCATGGTGAGGACTTTGCCTCAGGTGATGCCCTCTAGAGTAAGTGTGGAGCAAGTTGCTCACCTATTCGGTCTGGAGCTGTTTTTTGCTGTTAATAGCATTAAGGGAACAGCACCAGGATGGGGTGGGGATTATCCATTGGAGATGGTAATTTTAAGCAGGAGGTGTGGATGATCACTAGAAGGTGAGAAATGTCATTAGGTGGTGTGGGTGATCAGTAGGGTTGGAAGAATATTGGTAGAGGGTGGGCGTTATCATTAGGAGGTGGTAATTATTAGTAGGAGGCAGAGAGCCACCGTTAAGAATAAGTTCTGGAATCACAGAAGACCAATTTTTCATGTGTTGCCAAGCTTAAAGCAGAACTTCCAGAGCTATCAAAAACGTGCCCTTGAAGTGGGGCTACCCCGTCACGTGCTCATTTGTCTAGGGGACTCAAACCTGTATAATTAACCAGTTTTTTGGTCCTGTGGCAGTCGGCACTCACCTCTCTTTCCCTCTCTGCTTCGGCTATGGAATGTCTCTTGGCATCCTCACATCCTCACATCTAATGCAGGCCTGCATAAGACATGACAACATCAGTGGGGCCCAGGGGAGAAGAGGCTGCAGGGACCAGTCATGCAGCCCAGAGGGAGCCAGCGGGACCGAGGATCAGGTGAGTAATATAGCTCTATTTTAGTATCCTTTTCTCCTGGGCCCCTCTGACGGCATCACGTCTTATGCAGGCCCATTGACCTTCTTTAGACGTGAGGATGCCAAGAGACATTCCATAGCCAGAGCAGAAGGGAGAAGAGAGTGCCGACAGCTGCAGGACCAAAAAGCAGAGGCGTAAAACAGCTTTATTTGAGTCCCCTAGAGACAAACGAGCATGTGAGGGGGTTACCGTGGTTATCTTTCTGGCTCCCGATGAATCAAAAGGCTGGCTTCTCTGAAAATACTAGCCAAAAGTCATAATGGCTGACCTCAGAGTTGGCCAAGGGCAGCAGTAACTCTAACAGGTCTCTGTTACCTTTTGCAAACCTAGACTTTCAAGGTTAAAATAAAATGTCAAATAAATCACATTAGTAGATAGTCATATTATCATTGTATATAGCTCGTCCTGATGGTGATGTACAGTGAACAGGACTTCTCCACTAATTGTGAAGCTTATCTACCATCCATCATTCCTCCTGTTGAGAATTGACTTGGGGAGAGATCCACACATGGTTTGAACTGATTCCCAGGTGTGCGGGAATAACTAATGAAGGAAGTCAGAGGTGAACTTTGGGGTCACACCTGTTTTGTGTGACAGGTACTCCTTAAAATAACCCGTACAAGTTATTTTTTACATTTACCTCCAACAATCATAGAGTTAAGCTTGTTGTTTTTCTTAGTTCCCCCAGAAAACCCAGTAGTAGAAGTCAAAGAGCAAGCAGTGGAAGGAGGCCAGGTGGAGCTTATCTGCTCAGCTCCTCGAACAAAGCCGGAAGCCACACTACGCTGGTATAGAGACCGCAGGGAGCTCAAAGGTAAGAGAAATTGCTTATGCTCTGTTAAATCATATATCTTTTTATTTTGAAGCTCCAAGTGTATATCAATCCAAGAATAAAAAAATAGGCAAAAGTGATGTTCCGAAACCTTGCATTTGTTTGTGACTTTTATCATGCGCAAAATAGGAATATAATACATGAAGAAAAAAGGTGTTCTGGTGACATATTGTACACTTGCTGAACATGATGCCATCGATTGGTTCCTGCAGCACTCTAAATGCTTGGTCAGATACTGGTATGGTGTGGCATCAAGATATCTCAATGAGTTATGAGCCCTGAACTCAGCCAGAAGGCTGGTTGACTTGCAGGGGTGCCTACCAGTCTGGTAAGTCAGTCTAAAAGGAAGGGAATACATGTAAAAAAACAGCACACACACCTATCCCTGAAACGAAAAGCTGCACTATAATGGCAAATAATTTTTTTACAATACCCATTACTAACTCATTCTCTTCAAGTTAAAATACTTTAAACATCTAAAAACCTTTGAGGTCAAGGTGCTATGGGAATAACAAAGAAAAATCCACTTTCTCTTTCATTCATTGACGGACACAGTGGAGATCTGATCTCTATTACCAATGGGTATATAGTGCCACCTTCAGGAGTAGGACACTAGGCACAAAACAAAAACTCAGCCTAGTGGCGGCCCCTGACGGTGGCCAAACCCCCTAACAGCTAGAGCCAGCTTTGTCTTTTGGACGGTGTTGATTTTTCCAGAGGAAAATCTTAGTGCTGTTCAGTCTGCACAAGCCCTTGCTTGTCTATCGGTACAGGATCCTTTGGGTGGCGAGCGTGCATCGCTGGTTGTGTGGAGTAGTTTAGTCTTATTCCCACCCCTCGGTAGACACAACTTTGGGATGTCCCATTGGTAATAGAGATCAAGATCTCCACTGTGTCCTTGAATGAACGAAAGAGATATAGGATTTTTGTACTCGCCGTAAAATCCTTTTCTGTGCGTTCATTGAAGGACACAGTGCCCACCCCTCTGATTGTCATGTGTTCGTTCTATGTACTGCTTGGTGAATAACTGAGCTGGCTCTAGCTGTTTGGCCACCGTTAGGGGACACCCCTAGGCTGAGTTTTTGTTTTGTGCCTAGTGTCCTACTCCTGAAGGTGGCACTATACACCCATTGGTATAGGGATCAAGATCTCCACTGTGTCCTTCAATGAACACAGAAAAAAGGATTTTACGGTGAGTACAAAAATCCTATTTTATGCCCCCTGAATAGTTTTTGTGCTAAGGCAGAGCCTGTGTGACCCTTCCGCAAGTCCAGTCCTGTTCACCTGTGATATTGCTTCAAAGAGAGAAGTGTAAACCCCCAGCTAACAGTCCTAATGGCCAAACCTGTAAACAAGGGCCAAACAATACGTTGTATCATACCGCGTGAAACGGCAGTCACCGACACTCCAAAACAATCCTCTTCTTTTTTTTTTTTTTTTAATAAAAGCATAAAGTTTCAAGGGAAAAAATATTCTCCCTTTCTCCTGATGCAAACAGTTGAGTACCCATGACCCAAAGCAATATAATGTATACAGTCACATGAACAAATAAGTACACCCCATGGAAATTGTTGACCTTTTCAAAATATTTGTTCATTCAGACAGTGCCTTCATATAAAGGTGATATACTTGAACAAATGAGACATTACATTGACATGGTTTATTTATTCTCATAATCTAAATTAACAAAAATGCAGCTTTATCATGTCAGACATCTCAACTCTCCTGGATGTTCCGGGAGTCTCCCGCTATTTAGATACATTTTCTCCCGGAAAGGTTTACTCTAGATCGAGCAGAGTAAACCTTTCCCTGCTGTCTGTTTTTTGGTTTTTTTTTTCTGACGTCGGGGCCGCTGTCATTCAGAAAAAAAAACTGCATAGGAATGAATAGCTAGATTGCTATTGGCTATTTCAATTTGCAATAGCAGACTAGCTATTGCACCCACCCACTGCTGCTGTCAATCAGCAGAGGTGAGCCTGAAGTTCTCCATCAGGTCCTCCACTGTTGACTGACAGCAGCAGAGGGTGGGTGCAATAGCCAGCTTGCTATTGGCTATTGCAAATTGAAATAGCCAATAGCAATGTAGCTATTCATTCCTATGCTTTTTTTTTTATTCTGACGGCAGCAGATAGCAAGAGAAGCATTAGCTTCTTTGCTATCTGCCATCATTTCAGGGGGTTGCTCTCTTCCTTGTTGATGCACCCCCCCGCAGAGAAGGGTGGGGGGGGGTTGACATAGAGCACCTCCCTGAAAAGAGAAGGGAACCTCCCTGAAATGACTTATTTCAGGTTGGGATCCCTGTCATGTGGTAAAAGTAAATACATCCCTTTTAAATCCATGAAATTTGAATCGGGTGCTCCAGGTTAGGTGCCAGTGCTTTGAACCTCCTTCTGGAGAATGAAGGTGGAACTGGTCTTATTTACATCTCAGATATCTAGGGTCTTGCGTTCTTGCTATTGATGAGGGTGCTGTCATCATGCCAGGATTGAAAGAACTCTCTATGGCCGTCAGAATAAAGGTTGTTGATGCCTATGAGCCTGGCAAGGCATTTAAAGGATATCCAAATTATTTGAAATCAGTCATTTAAAGTGACATTAAACCCTCAGATTTTTTAACATAAACCAATACTGTAATGTGTGCCTTACTGTAATCCATGGTTGTTTCCCTTCTCTTTGCTGCTCTTCCTTTTAAATCCTCATGTCTTCTCATGCTTGGGGAGAACTTCCCTTTTCAGCTCAGGGCCTCTTCCTGTAGTGCTGGCTCAGGTTACAAGCCTATACAAACTTATACACAGACACCGTGTATCCATTCCTGGGACAAGGCAGTCTGCTGCAAAACAGAAGTTCTGCCCAGCATGAGAACAGATACAGATTTAAAAGGAAGAACAGCAAAGAGAAGGGAAACAACCATGGATTACAGTAAGGCGCACATTACAGTATTGTTTTATGTTAAAAAATCTGAGGGTTTAATGTCACTTTAACTGTAGGGAAAATAATTAGATGTCAAATGACTGCTAATTGATCAAGAACCAGCCAATCCAGCAAATTCAGCCCAAGAGCAAGAGCTGATTATTTGATGTTTAATGAAGTCTCCAAGATCCCTGAAATCTCAATGCAGAATTTGCAGGTAACTTGTGCAACAGCTCGTGTCAAAGTGCATGTTTCTACAATCGGAAAGAGATGGCACCAATTTAACCTGCATGGGATATATGCCAAGAAAAAAGCCTCTGCTGTCCAAAAAGAACATTAGAGCAAGATTAGTTCATTTACCATTGAACATATAAACGACTTCGGGAACACAGTGCTGTGGACGATCAATCAAAGATAAGTTTGTTTGACCACAGTAGTAGCCAAAATGGAAATTTCAGACCGAAACCGAAACTAAAAAATGTGACAGGCTGAAACCTTTTAAAAAAATGTATTTATTTTTGTTGGGGGCGTTGGGGAAATATTTAGACCTCTGATAATTCCCTTTTTAAAATAGAAAAAAAGTTGAGGACACAGAGTCCTAAATATCTTGTGCTGCAGCCCCTGCTATGAATGAACAGGAAGCCTCTATACTGAGTCCATTCATTCATAAACTGTGGATTAAGTATGAGTTACTATGTCCACATTAATGAATAAACAGGAAGTGATGTAGAGCACTTCCTGTTCATTCATAATTGGGGACATAGTAAACATGCTATGTCCTCAATTATTTACAAACACTCAGTGATCTGATCGCTGAGTGTTTGTATACTGCTCTCCTTCCTGACTCTTCCGCTTTCCATCCTGACTCCTTCGCTTTCCATCCTGACTCCTATCTGTCACTGAAGGCTGAGCCGGTGGTGAAGGGAGGAGAGCTCAGCCTCCTGTGACATGGCTGCTGGCTTACTCCTCCTCCGCACCCCTAGCTCAGCCACCGCTGACAGCTGTCTCCTCCCCGATCTCCATTCTGAGTCTCCCCCTGTCACAGGAGGCCCAGCGAGGCAGTGTGGGAGGAGAGCTCGGCCTCCTGTGACACAGACTGCTGACAGCGCTCTCTTCCTCATCCCGCTCATCCTCCTGCCAGTTTCTCTCCTCCCTGCTAGACGCTGCTCTGTGTCAGAGGGGACACAGAGCAACACCCATCGTGGAGGAGTGAAACTAGAGATGTACTGCAATTTCAGCTACAAAATTTTACTTTTGGAATTTTGCCCAAAGTGCCATTTTGGGCCGATCTGTTCCAGCGACCAAAACTTCTGGGCATCCAAAGTGCAAACCAAAGACAGCATTTCAGGATAAGAACCATAGTAGTGGAAATGGTTTGGGGTTGCTTTGTAGGGCCTGGACAGCTTTCATCACTGAGTCAACTATGAATTCTGGATCATATCAAAGTGTTCTTTAGAAAATTGCGAGTTGAACCAGAAATAGATGTTTGAACATAAAGATACAAAGCCAATGCACCAAAACTTGAAAAAAGAAGAAATGAAGTGTAATGGACTGGCCTAGTAAAAAACATTATTTAATCCCCATTGAAATGCTATTGGGTTATTAGAAATAGGCAGTCCATGTAAGGAAACTCGCATACATCTTGCAAGTGAAGGAATTTTGCATGGAGGAGTGGTCAAACATTTCATTCAATGTCAGAGGCTAGCGAGCAGTTATACAAAAGGCCTACAGGAAGTAATTTCTACTATGGGGGCAATACCAGCTAAAGAAGTCAAGGGTGTACTTACTTTTTTCACATTACACCATTACATCTATTGATATTTTTGTTGAATAAACTATTTAAAATGGCAATGTTCCTGTTTTTATTTCATATCACGTGTATCTGTAGGTGCTGTTTGAATGTAGATCTAATGTTTGCCAAATATGTTAAAGTTAATTTCCATTGGGTGTACTTATTTTCTCGCAAGACTATATAAATGTATACTATATGGTCCGAAATTTGTGCAGATATGGCCATCTGAACTTAATTGAACTTTTTGGACATCCCATTCCAATACTATCGCCATTTATACA